GGATGTATATGTACGAGAGATGAGTAACTAGGCCCAGTGGTGACTTCTGTATTATATGTCTAACCAAGGATGTATATGTAAGAGAGATGAGTAACTAGGCCCAGTGGTGACTTCTGTATTATATGTCTAACCAAGGATGTATATGTAAGAGAGATGAGTAACTAGGCCCAGTGGTGACTTCTGTATTATATGTCTAACCAAGGATGTATATGTAAGAGAGATGAGTAACTAGGCCCAGTGGTGACTTCTGTATTATATGTCTAACCAAGGATGTATATGTAAGAGAGATGAGTAACTAGGCCCAGTGGTGACTTCTGTATTATATGTCTAACCAAGGATGTATATGTAAGAGAGATGAGTAACTAGGCCCAGTGGTGACTTCTGTATTATATGTCTAACCAAGGATGTATATGTAAGAGAGATGAGTAACTAGGCCCAGTGGTGACTTCTGTATTATATGTCTAACCAAGGATGTATATGTAAGAGAGATGAGTAACTAGGCCCAGTGGTGACTTCTGTATTATATGTCTAACCAAGGATGTATATGTAAGAGAGATGAGTAACTAGGCCCAGTGGTGACTTCTGTATTATATGTCTAACCAAGGATGTATATGTAAGAGAGATGAGTAACTAGGCCCAGTGGTGACTTCTGTATTATATGTCTAACCAAGGATGTATATGTATTATATAAGAGAGATGAGTAACTAGGCCCAGTGGTGACTTCTGTATTATATGTCTAACCAAGGATGTATATGTAAGAGAGATGAGTAACTAGGCCCAGTGGTGACTTCTGTATTATATGTCTAACCAAGGATGTATATGTAAGAGAGATGAGTAACTAGGCCCAGTGGTGACTTCTGTATTATATGTCTAACCAAGGATGTATATGTAAGAGAGATGAGTAACTAGGCCCAGTGGTGACTTCTGTATTATATGTCTAACCAAGGATGTATATGTAAGAGAGATGAGTAACTAGGCCCAGTGGTGACTTCTGTATTATATGTCTAACCAAGGATGTATATGTAAGAGAGATGAGTAACTAGGCCCAGTGGTGACTTCTGTATTATATGTCTAACCAAGGATGTATATGTAAGAGAGATGAGTAACTAGGCCCAGTGGTGACTGTATTATATTAACCAAGGATGTATATGTAAGAGAGATATTATATGTTATATAACCAAGGATGTATATGTATAGAGAGATGAGTAACTAGGCCCAGTGGTGACTTCTGTATTATATGTCTAACCAAGGATGTATATGTAAGAGAGATGAGTAACTAGGCCCAGTGGTGACTTCTGTATTATATGTCTAACCAAGGATGTATATGTAAGAGAGATGAGTAACTAGGCCCAGTGGTGACTTCTGTATATGTCTATATGTCTAACCAAGGATGTATATGTAAGAGAGATGAGTAACTAGGCCCAGTGGTGACTTCTGTATTATATGTCTAACCAAGGATGTATATGTAAGAGAGATGAGTAACTAGGCCCAGTGGTGACTTCTGTATTATATGTCTAACCAAGGATGTATATGTAAGAGATGATGTAAGAGAGATGAGTAACTAGGCCCAGTGGTGACTTCTGTATTATATGTCTAACCAAGGATGTATATGTAAGAGAGATGAGTAACTAGGCCCAGTGGTGACTTCTGTATTATATGTCTAACCAAGGATGTATATGTAAGAGAGATGAGTAACTAGGCCCAGTGGTGACTTCTGTATTATATGTCTAACCAAGGATGTATATGTAAGAGAGATGAGTAACTAGGCCCAGTGGTGACTTCTGTATTATATGTCTAACCAAGGATGTATATGTAAGAGAGATGAGTAACTAGGCCCAGTGGTGACTTCTGTATTATATGTCTAACCAAGGATGTATATGTAAGAGAGATGAGTAACTAGGCCCAGTGGTGACTTCTGTATTATATGTCTAACCAAGGATGTATATGTAAGAGAGATGAGTAACTAGGCCCAGTGGTGACTTCTGTATTATATGTCTAACCAAGGATGTATATGTAAGAGAGATGAGTAACTAGGCCCAGTGGTGACTTCTGTATTATATGTCTAACCAAGGATGTATATGTAAGAGAGATGAGTAACTAGGCCCAGTGGTGACTTCTGTATTATATGTCTAACCAAGGATGTATATGTAAGAGAGATGAGTAACTAGGCCCAGTGGTGACTTCTGTATTATATGTCTAACCAAGGATGTATATGTAAGAGAGATAGGCCCAGTGGTGACTTCTGTATTATATGTCTAACCAAGGATGTATATGTAAGAGAGATGAGTAACTAGGCCCAGTGGTGACTTCTGTATTATAGGCCCAGTGGTGACTTCTGTATTATATGTCTAACCAAGGATGTATATGTAAGAGAGATGAGTAACTAGGCCCAGTGGTGACTTCTGTATTATATGTCTAACCAAGGATGTATATGTAAGAGAGATGAGTAACTAGGCCCAGTGGTGACTTCTGTATTATATGTCTAACCAAGGATGTATATGTAAGAGAGATGAGTAACTAGGCCCAGTGGTGACTTCTGTATTATATGTCTAACCAAGGATGTATATGTAAGAGAGATGAGTAACTAGGCCCAGTGGTGACTAAGAGAGATGTATTATATGTCTAACCAAGGATGTATATGTAAGAGAGATGAGTAACTAGGCCCAGTGGTGACTTCTGTATTATATGTCTAACCAAGGATGTATATGTAAGAGAGATGAGTAACTAGGCCCAGTGGTGACTTCTGTATTATATGTCTAACCAAGGATGTATATGTAAGAGAGATGAGTAACTAGGCCCAGTGGTGACTTCTGTATTATATGTCTAACCAAGGATGTATATGTAAGAGAGATGAGTAACTAGGCCCAGTGGTGACTTCTGTATTATATGTCTAACCAAGGATGTATATGTAAGAGAGATGAGTAACTAGGCCCAGTGGTGACTTCTGTATTATATGTCTAACCAAGGATGTATATGTAAGAGAGATGAGTAACTAGGCCCAGTGGTGACTTCTGTATTATATGTCTAACCAAGGATGTATATGTAAGAGAGATGAGTAACTAGGCCCAGTGGTGACTTCTGTATTATATGTCTAACCAAGGATGTATATGTAAGAGAGATGAGTAACTAGGCCCAGTGGTGACTTCTGTATTATATGTCTAACCAAGGATGTATATGTAAGAGAGATGAGTAACTAGGCCCAGTGGTGACTTCTGTATTATATGTCTAACCAAGGATGTATATGTAAGAGAGATGAGTAACTAGGCCCAGTGGTGACTTCTGTATTATATTATATGTCTAACCAAGGATGTATATGTAAGAGAGATGAGTAACTAGGCCCAGTGGTGACTTCTGTATTATATGTCTAACCAAGGATGTATATGTACGAGAGATGAGTAACTAGGCCCAGTGGTGACTTCTGTATTATATGTCTAACCAAGGATGTATATGTAAGAGAGATAAGAGTAACTAGGCCCAGTGGTGACTTCTGTATTATATGTCTAACCAAGGATGTATATGTACGAGAGATGAGTAACTAGGCCCAGTGGTGACTTCTGTATTATATGTCTAACCAAGGATGTATATGTAAGAGAGATAAGTAACTAGGCCCAGTGGTGACTTCTGTATTATATGTCTAACCAAGGATGTATATGTAAGAGAGATAAGGAGCTAGGCCCAGTGGTGACTTCTGTATTATATATCTAACCAAGGATGTATATGTACGAGAGATGAGTAACTAGGCCCAGTGGTGACTTCTGTATTATATGTCTAACCTGAGATGTATATGTAAGAGAGATAAGGAGCTAGGCCCAGTGGTGACTTCTGTATTATATGTCTAACCAAGGATGTATATGTAAGAGAGATAAGTAACGAGGCCCAGTGGTGACTTCTGTATTATATGTCTAACAACGGATGTATATGTAAGAGAGATAAGTAACTAGGCCCAGTGGTGACTTCTGTATTATATGTCTAACCAAGGATGTATATGTATGAGAGATGAGTAACTAGGCCCAGTGGTGACTTCTGTATTATATGTCTAACCAAGGATGTATATGTACAAGAGATGAGTAACTAGGCCCAGTGGTGACTTCTGTATTATATGTCTAACAACGGATGTATATGTAAGAGAGATAAGTAACTAGGCCCAGTGGTGACTTCTGTATTATATGTCTAACCAAGGATGTATATGTAAGAGAGATGAGTAACTAGGCCCAGTGGTGATGTCTGTATTATATGTCTAACCTGAGATGAATATGTAAGAGAGATAAGTAACGAGGCCCAGTGGTGACTTCTGTATTATATGTCTAACCAAGGATGTATATGTAAGAACCAGGGATTTATATGTGTCACCACTATTTCTGAAGAAGTGCAGAATGAATATGAACATGTTTTGAATAGTTGCTCTATGGAAAAAAAAACATGGTATTTGGTTAGTTATGGATGGGTCTTTAAGCTTCAAGACATTTATTACTATAGGTCTGTGAACTTAACAACACAGAAATTTCAAAGCAAAAATTTTCTAATCAGGTTAGGTACCTTTTGTATTCCCACAAAGTTAACATTTTCATTTTTGTTACTTCCAGCTTTTGTTTAATCAGACACAAAACTCTGTGTTGTTGTGAATGTTCATCAAAAATGATCAGGGGAGCATATAGTTGTGGCTGTATCTATCGGTTCGTCCATCTGTCCATCTGTCTTTCCATTTATACAATTTATCCGGAGCATAACTTAAGCAATTTTAGCAAAAATAAGCAAGGATCATGAAACTTAGTTGGTGTATACATTGGTCATACTAAAATGATGTGCAGTGTACCAAATTTAGGGCCAGCAACCCCTCAATTTCAGAGTTATTGCCCTTTGTTAAATTTTTTTGTCCAGTAAAGTTATTTTTGGGGAGCATTCATTCACTGATACTTTTGTTGTATTACAGTGTTCAATGTATCTCGTCTGTACAAGATACATTCTTTGACGAACACCATTGTAGAAGGAGATTCCTCAGAATGTCTGTTAACTACTCCGATGGTCTGTCTCCATACAATCACAAAGGCCGATGTGGACTACCAGAAAAATATGACTCACCTGAGGAAATCAGTGAAAAAGTCCACCAGCTGGCAGAATGGGTCAAATCTAGCCAACACTTTGTGGTACACACTGGAGCTGGAATCAGTACAGCTGCAGGAATTCCAGACTTTAGAGGACCTAAAGGTAGTACAACATATATATTTTTACAGACATATCAGTGATCCAGTAGAACTATGTACCTACTCAGGGTACAATGTATAAGTTTTACAGACATATCAGTGATCCAGTAGAACTATGTACCTACTCAGGGTACAATGTATAAGTTTTACAGACATATCAGTGATCAGTAGAACTATGTACCTACTCAGGGTACAATGTATAAGTTTTACAGACATATCAGTGATCCAGTAGAACTATGTACCTACTCAGGGTACAATGTATAAGTTTTACAGACATATCAGTGATCAGTAGAACTATGTACCTACTCAGGGTACAATGTATAAGTTTTACAGACATATCAGTGATCAGTAGAACTATGTACCTACTCAGGGTACAATGTATAAGTTTTACAGACATATCAGTGATCAGTAGAACTATGTACCTACTCAGGGTACAATGTATAAGTTTTACAGACATGTCAGTGATCCAGTAGAACTATGTACCTACACGGAATTTAGTCAGATTTTATCTGATACACGCATTCTCCTTTAGGTGATATAAGAGGACGTACAATGCTGGATAGATCATTCACCAACCTTAGTGTCTAGCAAACAAAATATGGCATTTATTTGATTTTCCAAGCCAAGACGGCCTTCAATTGCATAGCAAATAAAAGTCCTGTCTTGTTGTCTTATATTTCTCATATTTAACTTATCACATTTAAAATTTCTTCTCAGTTTCCAACAGTGGAACTTGGTAGAATCAAATGAACCAGTCATGCTTTCCGGGGATGATGCTGACCAAATATATACATTTTTTTTTCAGTCACTCTGAAGTTCAGTATAGCCATCATCATCATGGCTGCCATCTTGAAAAACACATTTTAAAAGCATTTTCTTCAGATCCACTAGTCCCATTGGCTTTAGTAGGAATAATGAAAAAACAGATCAAGAGAGTATGTTGTGTTTGAGACCATTTAACTATCAAAACTTGGTACAAAATTTGATAATGGTTCCCTCAGTCACTACAACTTTAGTATTCTTTATTTCAGGATTTTACAGTTTGATTGTTACAGCTCACAGGCCTCTTGTAAGGTCACTTCAAACCAAATTTGGGCAAAACAGAGTCATTCTCACACTGGAAGAAGGATTTTAAAGTAGACACTGCTGGTGGACTATTAAGTCCCAAAGGTTTTCCTTAACCTGCATGCCACGTTTTCAGTTCATCTGAATAGTGGCACAGTTTAGAATATACACATGAGTTGCAATTGACGCTATTCTAAAATTATCTGATATATAAGAATTACAAAATTTATTCCATTATGAGGCTGCTGTGCCTCCTCGTCTAGACTTTGGCTTGTCTTTCGATCACTTTCAAAATTTAGGCCCTTAGCATCACTGATAAGTCCTAGAAGGATGAAACAGCTGCATGATGCAGTTTAATTCATTGTTTGACTCTACTGTATCTAACTCTTAATTAGTAAAAGGTGCTATCCTCTATTATTCCTCATAAATCCCTGCCCCCTTGTGTCAATGAGTGCCTAGCTAGACCAACCATCTATACAATACTGAGTCTTCCTCACCCAAGGCAGACCCAGTTTGGACAAAGTCCTTTCCTTCCTGCAGATAAAGAAGATAAAAGGTTGTTAAGATAAATGATACCTATTCCTACTATTGGGTCCCACTTTAAGGGCCATAGGGTTACATCCAAGACCCCATATTGGACCCATCTTTAAAGGCCACAAGGATCAAGCCAAGACCCCATATTGGGCCCCACCTAAAGGTCCTTTGGGATCATGCCAAGACCCCATATAAGGCCCCGCCTTAAGGGCCTTGGGGACTCAAGGAAGCTCAAGACCCTATATGGTCCAAAAATTTTAATTTCCAACAGAAGGATTTTAAAAGTCTTCCTCTATTAAGCTGATTGCTATTCAAATGGGGTCATACCCAATGCTTCCAAAAATTAAGAAAAGAATGAGTTTTGTTCACCCAAGGATGCTTGAGACCAAGTTTTGACAGAATTCTGTGATTCCCACATAAGAAGAGTTATAGAGATTTACAGCTGATTAATGCCTCTTTTGGGCCCTGGCAATGTCTGTACCCAGATACTCAAACTCAAACCCACCATTAGTTCCCTTTACCAAGAGATGCTTCAAACCAAATTTGGACAACATCCTGTCATTCTCACAGAGGAATGATTTGAAAAAATGTGCCCTCTTGTCACTAACTTGTTGTCAGAATAATTTGTTGAATGATTTCCAATACAAATGTAATACTTTTACACAATCAGTGCCATTCTGTCTGAAATTGTTTTTGTCTGATATAAGTTTTTGGAATTTCCATACCAGTGAAATTTGTCACCAGCATTTCCGCTGAAATAAGGAGAAATTCCATCTTGTGAAATTTTTTGTTAGATTTTTTAATAGAATATTAGAATATCCAAGGGGCCCATAATCTGTATATATTAAGATGATAACTTTTTAAAGTTCAGAACTGGAGATGTTCCTCAAGTTGATAATGAAGAAGTCAAGTTCCTGTTGAATTAATATACATGTAAACTATATACAATAATCATCATTTACCATATCAAACTTAACAAGTGGAGATGTTCTTGCTCGGGCAGTGGAGACTAGCATCTCTCCTGTCTGGCCTCCACTCTTCCCTCCAGGAACTGATACATACTGGCTAGAAAGGTGGTCGTATTTATACTAGCCATGTTAATTAACTGATAAAGTACTAATACACATTAGATAACAGGTAAACATGGATTGTAATATACATGAGTTATTGACATGGTCTTGTACACATAAATGGCAATAGATTTGGCTGTTTACATCAAAATAAGGTTACACTAACCATCATACAAACTGCTTAGATAGGCTTCAGGTAATGAACATGTGTAGTAGATCAGTAACGACAGAATACCTCTGGCCACTGGTCAATACATAATTGTTTGCAGTAGATGTCAGTACTAAATTAACACAGGCAGATACACTAGGATGAAACATCTGACTTATGTCAAATACAATTTTGAATAATTTAATTAACTTACCTATTAACTTTTAATAGTTTAATGTAAGTTCAGTATTGTTCAGATACTAAAATCTTAAAATCAGTTTTTCCTGATTCCTATGTATTTACAAGCAGCATGCTGATATGAAAGATTACCCAGCTGTCTACTTTTCAAATAGCTTCTTAACATTCATGATCAAGTCCCATGGTTGTGATTTTTTACCAGTAATTACAAAGAAGGACAATCAAGTTTTTGAAAACCAATGGGATTTACTTACTGTGTATTTACAGGATACTAGACTAGTTAATTTAATTTTATTGTTAACCAAAACAGATTAAAGGAATATTCAAATTTTATAATTAAAGTTTAACAGGTAATTAAAATTCTTAGAAAGAAAATTTGAGTGAAACAATGTTGATTGCTTTCATTTATTTCAGGTGTTTGGACACTAGAAGAAAAAGGAGAGAAGCCGACGATCAACGTTACCTTTGACAATGCACAGCCTACAAGGACTCACATGGCTTTGGTAGCCCTGGAGAGAGCTGGTAAGTTTTACAGCCTACCAGGACTAACATGGCTTTGGTAGCCCTGGAGAGAGCTGGTAAGTTTTACAGCCTACTACATACTCACACGACCTTGGTAGTCCTGGAGAGAGCTGGTAAGTTTTACAGCCTACCAGGACTAACATGACTTTGGTAGCCCTGGAGAGAGCTGGTAAGTTTTACAGCCTACCAGGACTAACATGACTTTGGTAGCCCTGGAGAGAGCTGGTAAGTTTTACAGCCTACCAGGACTAACATGACTTTGGTAGCCCTGGAGAGAGCTGGTAAGTTTTACAGCCTACCAGGACTAACATGACTTTGGTAGTCCTAGGGAGAGCTGGTAAGTTTTACAGCCTACCAGGACTAACATGACTTTGGTAGCCCTGGAGAGAGCTGGTAAGTTTTACAGCCTACCAGGACTAAAATGACTTTGGTAGCCCTGGAGAGAGCTGGTAAGTTTTACAGCCTACCAGGACTAACATGACTTTGGAAGCCCTGGAGAGAGCTGGTAAGTTTTACAGCCTACCAGGACTAAAATGACTTTGGTAGCCCTGGAGAGAGCTGGTAAGTTTTACAGCCTACCAGGACTAACATGACTTTGGAAGCCCTGGAGAGAGCTGGTAAGTTTTACAGCCTACCAGGACTAAAATGACTTTGGTAGCCCTGGAGAGAGCTGGTAAGTTTTACAGCCTACCAGGACTAACATGACTTTGGTAGTCCTAGGGAGAGCTGGTAAGTTTTACAGCCTACCAGGACTAACATGACTTTGGTAACCCTGGAGAGAGCTGGTAAGTTTTACAGCCTACCAGGACTAAAATGACTTTGGTAGCCCTGGAGAGAGCTGGTAAGTTTTACAGCCTACCAGGACTAACATGACTTTGGAAGCCCTGGAGAGAGCTGGTAAGTTTTACAGCCTACCAGGACTAACATGACTTTGGAAGCCCTGGAGAGAGCTGGTAAGTTTTACAGCCTACCAGGACTAACATGACTTTGGTAGCCCTGGAGAGAGCTGGTAAGTTTTACAGCATACCAGGACTAACATGACTTTGGTAGCCCTGGAGAATGCTGGTAAGTTTTACAGCCTACCAGGACTAACATGACTTTGGTAGCCCTGGAGAGAGCTGGTAAGTTTTACAGCCTACCAGGACTAACATGACTTTGGTAGCCCTGGAGAGAGCTGGTAAGTTTTACAGCCTACCAGGACTAACATGACTTTGGTAGCCCTGGAGAGAGCTGGTATGTTTTACAGCCTACCATGACTAACATGATTTTGGTAGCCCTGGAGAGAGCTGGTAAGTTTTACAGCCTACCAGGACTAACATGACTTTGGTAGCCCTGGAGAGAGCTGGTAAGTTTTACAGCCTACCAGGACTAACATGACTTTGGTAGTCCTGGAGAGAACTGGTAAGTTTTACAGCCTACCAGTACTAACTTGGCTTTGGTAGCCCTGGAGAGAGCTGGTAAGTTTTACAGCCTACCAGTACTAACATGGCTTTGGTAGCCCTGGAGAGAGCTGGTAAGTTTTACAGCCTACCAGTACTAACACGACCTTGGTAGCCCTGGAGAGAGCTGGTAAGTTTTACAGCCTACTACATACTCACACGACCTTGGTAGCCCTGGAGAGAGCTGGTAAGTTTTACAGCCTACCAGGACTAACATGGCTTTGGTAGCCCTGGAGAGAGCTGGTAAGTTTTACAGCCTACCAGTACTAACATGGCTTTGGTAGCCCTGGAGAGAGCTGGTAAGTTTTACAGCCAACCAGTACTAACATGGCTTTGGTAGCCCTGGAGAGAGCTGGTAAGTTTTACAGCCTACTACATACTCACACGACCTTGGTAGCCCTGGAGAGAGCTGGTAAGTTTTACAGCCTACCAGGACTAACATGACTTTGGAAGCCCTGGAGAGAGCTGGTAAGTTTTACAGCCTACTACATACTCACACGACCTTGGTAGCCCTGGAGAGGGCTGGTAAGTTTTACAGCCTACCAGGACTAACATGACTTTGGTAGCCCTGGAGAGGGCTGGTAAATTTTCTTCTTTGAGGCAATTTAACTAGTTGTTATAATTTACAGATGTTTTCTGCTCAAGAAATGAGATACTTACAGAGACAGAAAACAGGTTAACATTGTAAAGGTAAACCTTGTATTAAACCAGTCATTCCTATTGAATGTGTTTAGAAACAAACAATAAAACAAATATTTAATGCTTGGTACATTTAAACTTGGTTAGAAGCCTTAACTTGGGACAGCTATTAATTAAAACACAATTTACATTTGTATTATGTTTACTATAAAGTTAAAGTTTTTTTAAACAAAATCACTTGTATGACATGACACAAGAACAAGACATGTAAGGAGACGTGGGTGACCATTAAGGCCCCTTGGCCACTTTCGTTGTTATTGTAATTGAGCATCTTCTATCACCCTCAACAGGTTATGTGAAGTTTGTGGTCAGTCAGAATGTTGATGGTCTCCAGATACGGTCAGGATTTCCTCGTAATCGTCTGTCTGAACTTCATGGAAATATGTTTGTGGAGGAATGTGACAAATGTGGAACCCAGGTTTGTATGTTAACAACATTGTGTAGGAAAACTGATGAACACTTTGAATCCTCCTCACTGGTCAATATAGACAGATACAAGGTATCCTAGATTGATAGACAGGATGTGATCACACCCCTTGAACATCACATGTATTCACAAATATGACAGAATATAAAAAAAATAGGTATGGAAAACCATATAATTTTTGTTTTATTACTGTCGAGTACAAAAGCCTCTGCTTATGATCCACAATATACAGTATATCTTGTAAGATGGAGTTGATCTAAGGATGTAAACTGAAGTATTCTAAATATATTCTTGGACACATTTAATGAGAACTGCACTTTGTAAATATATTATCGCATTCAGAAAGGAATTATTCTTAACCATCAGTATCAAACTAAATTTCTTTCTATTTCAAACATCATGCTTACACATAAGTATATGTATTATGATAAAAAAAAGAAAACACCACATCAATTCTGTCTTTAACAGTACATCAGAAGCTCTGCTGTACCAACAATGGGCCTCAAGCCAACAGGGAACTCATGCCTGAAAACCAAACCTAGGGGAAGTGTGTGTAGGTAAGTGAGTATGTCTGAAAACCAAACCTAGGGGAAGTGTGTGTAGGTAAATGAGTATGTCTGAAAACCAAAGCGAGGGGAAGTGTGTGTATGTAAGTGAGTATGTCTGAAAACCAAAGCGAGGGGAAGTGTGTGTAGGTAAGTGAGTATGTCTGAAAACCAAAGCGAGGGGAAGTGTGTGTATGTAAGTGAGTATATCTGAAAACCAAAGCGAGGGGAAGTGTGTGTAGGTAAGTGAGTATGTCTGAAAACCAAAGCGAGGGGAAGTGTGTGTAGGTAAGTGAGTATGTCTGAAAACCAAAGCGAGGGGAAGTGTGTGTAGGTAAGTGAGTATGTCTGAAAACCAAAGCGAGGGGAAGTGTGTGTAGGTAAGTGAGCATGTCTGAAAACCAAAGCGAGGGGAAGTGTGTGTAGGTAAGTGAGCATGTCTGAAAACCAAAGCGAAGGGAAGTGTGTGTAGGTAAGTGAGTATGTCTGAAAACCAAAGCGAGGGGAAGTGTGTGTAGGTAAGTGAGCATGTCTGAAAACCAAAGCGAGGGGAAGTGTGTGTAGGTAAGTGAGTATGTCTGAAAACCAAAGCAAGGGGAAGTGTGTGTAGGTAAGTGAGTATGTCTGAAAACCAAAGCGAGGGGAAGTGTGTGTAGGTAAGTGCGTATGTCTGAAAACCAAAGCGAGGGGAAGTGTGTGTAGGTAAGTGAGTATGTCTGAAAACCAAAGCGAGGGGAAGTGTGTGTAGGTAAGTGAGCATGTCTGAAAATGAAACCTAGGAGAAGTGTGAGCATGTAAAACTCTTTACTTCGTTATTTTTTTGCCTTCTCACTTCTCACTTTGCCCTTTATTCAAATGTTTGCCCCTATGAGAAAGGTATTGTCACCTGGCTGAGTCTTTAAAAATCATCAGTGTCAAGTTACTGGGTGGAAACTCTTCTGGACATCTTCAACAATGTACTTCATTTCAGTAGCACTTTAGTTACAGATGTTTGAAGGACAGATCCAGGATTCCTGTGGTCCATTTCTTCTGGGATCTTTTCAGGATGGATTGGTCTGTATGTAGGATTAATCAACAGAGTGTAATAAGGATACCTGCTCTTAAAACAGAAGCCATTACAACAGAAATATCTGTTTGAAATAATTACCGTGATAAGTGCTGCTTACTTATGCAAATGCCATGTGAACAGATGTTGTGTTTAATTACAGAGGCAGGACGAGGGACACTATACTGGACTGGGAGGATGCCTTACCAGAAAATGATTTAGATCTTGCAGATCTGAATTCAAGGTGAAATCTATAGGGGCCAATAGGGGCCAGAGTGTTTCAACAGTCTGGACAGAGACCTGGAAATACATATATAGTATAATCACAGGTCTAAAGCATGTTTCATAGGAGTTGTTCTTTATAGCTTCCTTAAATGACTTGGAGAACCAAATAGAACTGATTCATACATTAATGTGTCCCCACAGTTGTCCTAAAATTCAGATGTAATTGATATTGCTGTCCCCATATGTTACAGATTATGTTGTCTTCAGATTCAGATGTAGATTTTTCTGGTGTCCCTAAACCCAATTATTGCTGATATTTGTGTTAAAAAATGAGATATAACTGATACTACTAAATGTAATAAAATTGAGTTAATATTGATCTGTCTATATATCTGGATACTTCATATTACCCCAAAAAATCCTCATTCTTCTGTTTCCTCCTAATATCCAGCCACTGTTACAAGTGTTCATGTATACTTATGTTAGTAGTGAAACACTTGTGGTCATAGAGTGTAATACAAAAATAACATCACATTTTATCTATGTTCACAGGAAAGCTGATCTCAGTCTGTGCCTTGGGACATCTTTACAGATAATTCCCAGTGGGAATTTACCGCTGTTAACACGCAGAAAACATGGAAATCTTGTCATTGTAAATCTACAAGCAACCAAACATGACCGCCACGCAGATTTACGTATTCATACTTTTGTTGATGAAGTTATGACTCAGTTATGCCACATAATGGGAGTGGAAATTCCAGAATATGCAGGACCAGTTGTCAACCTAGAATCTGTTCATACTGTAAAGGGAGAAAAGAAATTGAAAGTTTGTATTAGAGATCAAGTCTTGGTATCAACCATTGTGAAAACAGAAATACAAAAACGCAAAAAAACTGGCATTAAGAGTGAACCTGCTAGGCGAAATACAGGTACTCTTGATGCTGGAACTAACTTGGCTGTGAAATGTGACGTTAAAAGTGAACCTGCCAGACAAAACACGATTCTTGATGCTGGAACTAACTTGGCTGTGAAATGTGACATTGACTCTGATGATCAGCATAAACATAGAAGTCCATCCTCCACAGACAACTCTCTGATGGTAGGTAAACAGGATTCAGAATCTGAATCATTGTCGCCACCAAATACAACGCAGGAGTCTGGCTCACATGGCCTGCTAACAAAACAGGAAACTAGCTCACAGGGTCTGTTAACAGGACAGGAAACTAGCTCACAGAGTCTTTTAACAGGACAGGAACTAATTACAGATATAAACGGGGGTCAAGACATTCCCTCAACAAAATATAGGAAAGTTGATCACATCTATTAATGTCTTTTATTTCTGATGAAATCAACATCATAGGATATTATCTATTTTATTTATCATGGTCAGTGTCAACAAACATCTTAACTGTCTATCAAAACCTTGTCAGTAAGTAAGAATCTTAAGGAATCGCAAAGAAGAGTTCAGAATGATCATAATATATCTCTGTCAGTTATACACAGGAGACAAAATTACAAACATGTCACAGGATTCTACCAACCAATGATTTATAGTACAAAATGCAGATTGTTCCAGATAACAAATGTACTTTCTGTCAAAGAGAAGCTGAAACAGTAGGACACATCTTTTCTAAATGTTTTTATTCAGTACAAATTTGTGAGGAGCTTTATCACTGGTGTTCACACTGAGACCAATATTATTTTAGAGAAATTCACATCTTGTTTGGCAATCAACGGTTCAGTAAGCTATTAAACCACTTTCTCCTCCTCACAAAACATCACATATACTACAGTCAAGTTAATCATTTAATACCAAACTTTTTGGTGTGTAGATATATTTTCAGAGAAGTAATGACTGTTCAAAAATTTTTTGCCTCAAAGAACAACACTATGACAGATTGCGAACAAAAACGGTGAATTTTTCCAGGTCTCCTTTGAGATAATTTGTTTGTATTTTCATCTACTGGTATCAAAGTTCTTAAGTTTTTTGTTTTTGAGGTGTTTTCATTTAGGCAATAAAATGGAGTTATGTCCCTTAAAAGTCTCCTTTAATCAAAAGAAATAGAAACCTCAGCCTTCCCTCTAATGGCCTCCATCAGTCCATAGGCCCTTCTTTATTATTACAAGATATTCAGTGTGTGTTATGTGTGAAAGTGGTGTGAAGAAGTTGTAATAAAAGACGGGAGGTATTTGGAAAAAAACTATGGTAAAATGGACTAGGTAAAAATTTATATTTAGTATGTGTGAATGGTGTGTGGTATGTGAGAACCCTCCTGTGGAGAGGGCATTATTTGTAAGGGACTGATCCCAGGGCCCCAACCCTGACAGTCTCAAGTATCGCTGGAATAATAAAATATTTGTGTAAAAAAAAATATAAATATCTCTGTGTTCATTAAAATAATAAAGTTAGTGGAGACATATGATCATTATACATCTGTGTGTCCAGTTTCATGTTGATATTTGTAAAATTGGTTCAGTAATTGAATGTTAAATTTTTCCTTGGCAGCTCACGGTTTCATTGTGTGTCACACTCATTCACAACATATCAAATCTTAAAATATTAGATAAATTAAGAAACATCAAATGTATGCACTTGACTAATTACAATATACATAGTTTCTGTTTCATATATGGGAGATGAACAGCTTGTCACAAATATATACGTTTTATACAAATAGGGGTCAACTTGTAACATGTTCAGGCACTGGTTACTAAAATCTCAATGGTTACATATTGTTCATGTGATTTGTTACAAGTTTCCTGTGGATGGTAAGTTATGATGTGTTCTACTGACATTACCAACCCTTGTGGATAGTAAGTTGTGGAATGTTCTACTGACATTACCAACCCTTGTGGATAGTAAGTTGTGGAGTGTTCTACTGATATAACCAACACTTGTGGATAGTAAGTTGTGGAGTGATCTACTGACACTACCAACTCTTATAGATAGTAAGTTGTGGAGTGTTCTACTGACATTACCAACCCTTGTGGATAGTAAGTTGTGGAGTGTTCTACTGATATAACCAACCCTTCTGGATAGTCAGTTGTGTAGTGATCTACTGACACTACCAACCCTTGTGGATAGTAAGTTGTTGACTGATCTACTGCCACTACCAACCCTTGTGGATAGTAAGTTGTGGAGTGTTTTACTGACATAACCAACCCTTGTGGATGGTAAGTTGTATACTGATATACTGACACTACCAACCCTTGTGGATAGTAAGTTGTGGAGAGTGCTAATGACATTACCAACCTTTGTGGATGGTAAGTTGTGAAATGTTCTACTGACATAACCAAACCTAGTAGAAAGTAAGTTGTGAAGTGTTCTATTGACATTACCAACCCTTGTGGATAGTAAGTTGTGGAATGTTCTACTGACACTACCAACCCTTGTGGATAATAAGTTGTGCAGTGTTCTACTGACATTACCAACCCTTGTGGATAGTAAGTTGTGGAATGTTCTACTGACATTACCAACCCTTGTGGATAGTAAGTTGTGGAGTGTTCTACTGACATAACCAACCCTTGTGGATAGTAAGTTGTGGAGTGATCTACTGACACTACCAACTCTTATAGATAGTAAGTTGTGGAGTGTTCTACTGACATTACCAACCCTTGTGGATAGTAAGTTGTGGAGTGTTCTACTGACATTACCAACCCTTGTGGATGGTAAGTTGTGGATTGTTCTACTGACATTACCAACCCTTGTAGATAGTAAGTTGTGGACTGATCTACTGACATTACCAACCCTTGTGGATGGTAAGTTGTGGAGTGTTCTACTGACATTACCAACCCTTGTGGATAGTAAGCTTTGGATTGTTCTACTGACATTACCAACCCTTGTGGATAGTAAGTTATGGAGTGTTCTACTGACACTACCAACCCTTGTGGATAGTAAGCTTTGGATTGTTCTACTGACATTACCAACCCTTGTGGATAGTAAGTTATGGAGTGTTCTACTGACACTACCAACCCTTGTGGGTGGTAAGTTGTGGACTGACCTACTGACACTACCAAACCTTGTGGATAGTAAGTTGTGGAGTGTTCTACTGACATAACCAACCCTTGTGGATAGTAAGTTGTGGAGTGTTCTACTGACATAACCAACCCTTGTGGATAGTACGTTGTGGAGTGTACTACTGACATTACCAACCCTTGTAGATAGTAAGTTGTAGAGTGATCTACTGACAATACCAACCCTTGTGGATAGTAAGTTAAGGAGTGTTCTACTGACACTACCAACCCTTGTGGATAGTAAGTTGTGGAGTGTTCTACTGACACTACCAACCCTTGTGGATAGTAAGTTGTGGAGTGTTCTACTGACATTACCAACCCTTGTGGATAGTAAGTTGTGGAGTGATCTACTGACACTACCAACTCTTATAGATAGTAAGTTGTGGAGTGTTCTACTGACATTACCAACCCTTCTGGATAGTAAGTTGTGGAGTGTTCTACTGACATTACCAACCCTTGTGGATAGTAAGTTATGGAGTGATCTACTGACACTACCAACTCTTATAGATAGTAAGTTGTGGAGTGTTCTACTGACATTACCAACCCTTGTGGATAGTAAGTTGTGGAGTGATCTACTGACACTACCAACTCTTATAGATAGTAAGTTGTGGAGTGTTCTACTGACATTACCAACCCTTGTGGATAGTAAGTTGTGGAGTGTTCTACTGACATTACCAACCCTTGTGGATGGTAAGTTGTGGAGTGATCTACTGACACTACCAACTCTTATAGATAGTAAGTTGTGGAGTGTTCTACTGACATTACCAACCCTTGTGGATAGTAAGTTGTGGAGTGTTCTACTGACATTACCAACCCTTGTGGATGGTAAGTTGTGGAGTGTTCTACTGACATAACCAAACCTTGTAGATAGTAAGTTGTGGACTGATCTACTGACATTACCAACCCTTGTGGGTGGTAAGTTGTGGACTGATCTTCTGACACTACCAACCCTTGTAGATAGTAAGTTAAGGAATGTTCTACCGACATAATCAACCCTTGTGGATGGTAAGTTGTGGAGTGTTCTACTGACATAACCAACACTTGTGGATAGTAAGTTGTGGAGTGTTCTACTGACACTACCAACCCTTGTGGATAGTAAGTTAAGGAGTGTTCTACTGACACTACCAACCCTTGTGGATGATGAGTTGTGGACTGATCTACTGACACTACCAACCCTTGTGGATAGTAAGTTGTGGAGTGTTCTACCGACATAATCAACCCTTGTGGATGGTAAGTTGTGGAGTGTTCTACTGACACTACCAACCCTTGTGGATGGTAAGTTGTATACTGATATACTGACACTACCAACCCTTGCGGATAGTAAGTTGTGGATAGTGCTAATGACATTACCAACCTTTGAGGATGGTAAGTTGTGGAATGTTCTACTGACATAACCAAACCTAGTAGAAAGTAAGTTGTGAAGTGTTCTATTGACATTACCAACCCTTGTGGATAGTAAGTTGTGGAATGTTCTACTGACACTACCAACCCTTGTGGATAATAAGTTGTGGAGTGTTCTACTGACATTACCAACCCTTGTGGATAGTAAGTTGTGGAATGTTCTACTGACATTAACAACCCTTGTGGATAGTAAGTTGTGGAGTGTTCTACTGACATTACCAACCCTTCTGGATAGTCAGTTGTGTAGTGATCTACTGACACTACCAACCCTTGTGGATAGTAAGTTGTGGAGTGTTCTACTGACATTACCAACCCTTGTGCATAGTAAGTTTTGGAGTGTTCTACAAACACTACCAACCCTTGTGAATAATAAGTTGTGGACTGACTGACCTTCTGACACTACCAACCCTTGTAGAGAGTAAGTTAAGGAGTGTTCTACTGACATTACCAACCCTTGTGCATGATAAGTTGTGGACTGATCTACTAAAACTACCAACCCTTGTGGATGGTAAGTTGTGAAGTGTTCTACTGACATTACCAACTCTTCTAGAAAGTAATTTGTGGTGTGTTCTGCTGATATTACCAACTCTGCTAGAACGTAAGTTGTGGAGTGTTCTAATGCCATTACCAACCCTTGTGGATGGTAAGTTGTGGACTGATCTACTGACATTACCAGCCCTTGTGGATGGTAAGTTGTGGAGTGTTCTACTGACATAACACACCCTTGTGGATAGTAAGTTGTGGAGTATTCTACTGACATTACCAACCTTTTAGATAGTAAGTTGTGGACTGATCTACTGACATTACCAACCCTTGTAGAACGTAAGTTGTGGAGTGTTCTACTGACATTACCAACCCTTGTGGATGGTAAGTTGTGAAATGTTCTACTGACATCACCAAACCTAGTAGAAAGTAAGTTGTGAAGTGTTCTACTGACATTACCAGCCCTTGTGGATGGTAAGCTTTGGAATGTTCTACTGACAATACCAACCCTTGTGAATAGTAAGTTGTGGAGTGTTCTACTGACACTACCAACCCTTGTGGGTGGTAAGTTGTGGACTGACCTACTGACACTACCAAACGTTGTGGATAGTAAGTTGTGGAGTGTTCTACTGACATAACCAACCCTTGTGGATAGTAAGTTGTGGAGTGATCTACTGACACTACCAACCCTTGTGGATAGTAAGTTGTGAAGTGTTCTACTGACATTACCAACTCTTCTAGAAAGTAATTTGTGGTGTGTTCTGCTGATATTACCAACACTTGTGGATAGTAAGTTGTGGAGTGATCTACTGACACTACCAACTCTTATAGATAGTAAGTTGTGGAGTGTTCTACTGACATTACCAACCCTTCTGGATAGTAAGTTGTGGAGTGTTCTACTGACATTACCAACCCTTGTTGATAGTAAGTTATGGAGTGATCTACTGACACTACCAACTCTTATAGATAGTAAGTTGTGGAGTGTTCTACTGACATTACCAACCCTTGTGGATAGTAAGTTGTGGAGTGATCTACTGACACTACCAACTCTTATAGATAGTAAGTTGTGGAGTGTTCTACTGACATTACCAACCCTTGTGGATAGTAAGTTGTGGAGTGTTCTACTGACATTACCAACCCTTGTGGATGGTAAGTTGTGGAGTGATCTACTGACACTACCAACTCTTATAGATAGTAAGTTGTGGAGTGTTCTACTGACATTACCAACCCTTGTGGATAGTAAGTTGTGGAGTGTTCTACTGACATTACCAACCCTTGTGGATGGTAAGTTGTGGAGTGTTCTACTGACATAACCAAACCTTGTAGATAGTAAGTTGTGGACTGATCTACTGACATTACCAACCCTTGTGGGTGGTAAGTTGTGGACTGATCTTCTGACACTACCAACCCTTGTAGATAGTAAGTTAAGGAATGTTCTA